CGACCAAGTAGGTTCAAAAAGAGATAGTTGATCCCAAATAGCATGCATTTCAAAAACAAAGGTATTGATAGATTGACCAGGCTATTGAGTTTTGTTGTGAAGATTGGTCAAAAGTTGATATTGATGGGCGAGATCAGTAATGGTGCAATGGTGCTTTAAAAAATCCCAGATGGATTTTACAAAATTGAACCAGCCAAATTCGATACTAATAGATGAGATATAGGTGTTACGAAATCAAGTAATAATTTGATGATTTTTGTTGTCCCATTCTTCAAGACGATCACCATATTTTTCTTTTGTTTCTGTCTCAACTTGCACTGGCTCAAAGACATCACCATTAATAATGTGCCATAGTTTCTTACCTTTAAGAAAATTAGACTTTGCTTGAGACCAAAGGATGTAGTTTGAACAACCCTCCAAGGTAATGCTAATAGGATGAGAAATTTTGAACCAGTCTATAACTAGAAATATATGAGACGTGTATCTGGTGAATAGTTCTAATTGCTGCACCCAAAAGTTCTGATTGTAACCCCAAAAATAAGCCCGATTTAGGCCCAATAGCTTAATTGCCCCAGAAACTTAATATAATATATGTTATATTATAAATATATATAATATTTAAGGTAAAGTGAAAAAAAACCCCCTGAACTTTACTCTCTCTCCCTAAAACTCCCCCTGAACTATTTTTTTTACAATTAACCCCCTGAACTATCAACCTTTTTGCAAAAATTACACACTGGTGAAATTCCATTTGATTTCTCTAGCCAATTAGGCTCGTGATGAATACATGCCAGTAATATATTCTAAAATGACAAATCTACCCTTATACTATTAAATGTATAAAATAAAAATTAAAAAATAAAAAATCCCAAATTAAAGCCCTAAAAAAATCACAGGCGTCGATGCGGTGAGGGATGTATTTGAAAAAGAGGTGGTCGTGGTCTTCATCGCTGCTGGTGCTAGAGGTGGTCGGTGTCCTCATCGCCGCTGATGCTAGAGGAAGTCATCATCCTCATTAATATAATTTTCTTTAAAAAAAAAAACCATAACCCACTTTCGTTTCCCCCTCCTCTCTCTCTCTGCGCGATGCCGCCAGTTCACCCATCTTCTCTCTCAATTTCACCACTGCCAAATCCTCAGCCCACCTTCTCTCTCTCAATATCACCGTTGCGACCTCATCACCGCTGTGAACTTGCTGTCGCCGCCGAAGTCGCGGCCACCACAGTCATCGCTGCGAACTAGCCGGCAGCGCTTGTCTCCATCTTGTTCTTGACATTTCTTTCTTGTAACGGCCGGCTCGTCTGTCATAGTGTCACTATAAGGTTCCGATATAAAGCATTTTAGCCCAAAAAAAAAAAAAAAAAAAAACAGGCATCTAAGAGTAGTTCCATGCGAAGCAAGATCGGATAAGCTTATTGGGGAACGGATCCCATGGTTTGAGTTTGAGAAAGTCTATTTTTTGTTGAGGTGGGGAAATTGTATAAGTGATGCGCAGGCAAATGTTTATTCGTGCTTGAGTTTTGGTCATCTCCTCCTCCTCTTTCTCCTCCTCTGTATTTTTTTTTCACACAAACACAATTTACTCTCTGTATTTCTTCTCTAGCAGTGCGTGATGGTGGTTGATGGATTTTCAAATGTCTATTCGTGTTTGGTTATCTCCTCCTCCTCCTCCTCTGTATTTCTTATCACACGAACATAATTTACTCTTTGTATTTCTTCTCCGGCGGTGCGTAATGGTGGTTGATGGATTTTCTTTTCTAGTCACCGTTAATGGATTCACTCACGCTGGTCATTAATGAGGTGGGGTAGTGATAAGGTGATGCGTTGGCAAATTTTTATTGGGTCTTGAGATTTTATTTGACACATCAGCAACATAAGTTAATAAAGCACCAAAATGGTGCCGTTCAATTAGAGGGTAATTTTGTAATCTTGGTTTTCCGGTGCCGGAGGCTTGCCTGATGTCCTTAAATGCAACTTTTTAATAGTTCAGGGGGGCATTTGTTAATTCAAGGGGGTTTTATGCAATTGGCTTATAGTTCAGGGAGATTTATTACACTTTACCCTACTATATTTATAGAGAGAAATTTAGGGATTTGTTTTTCTGGGTGGAGATATAAAATATAATATATATATATATATATATATATATATATATATATATATTATGGGTGAAGATATTATATTATAAACAACTCCAATAACAAAGTGTTTAAAGGGTCTTAATTACCCTTCCCCACCTTGCAGACATCAATCAATCAATGCTGCAGTTAAGCGACAAAAAAAAGGCAAAAGTCCCCAGTTAAAAAAGTTAATCCACAGTTCTCCATTATCAGCCTTCTGGCCTCTTTTGGCGTTTATGGCAGACAAGAGTTTCAAATTATATTTCATTGAAGGAATCTAAAGCTACTTTGAATACGTATGGTAAGCAACAGTTCTACCTTTAGAGCACATAGTAGTAAGCAGCCATCTTTCAATCACTTCAAACTGAGAATGATTTGGGGATGGAGGAGAGCCTTGAGGATTTTGGTTTTGAGGAGGATTTTTGTTAGGTAAAGAAGTACGTTGAAGAGGAGGGATGTCTTCTTCTTCAGTCTGTTCGTTTTCATCGTCCTGGTAAACCGACTTAGCAACTTCTTTGTTTTTGAATCCAATGAGGTTCGGATTTCTTATAGGTAGTCCTGAAAATGATTTTCTGGAAGGAAATTTTGAATAGTTTGGTTGAGAAAAATAGGCCTGAGAATAAGATGACCTAGGTGGCTCCAGTTCTCTGATAGAAAGTCTATTGAGCCTGTTAGAATTAAATCTAACTTTAACCGTTCCATTAGAAAATTAAGAGATTTGTTCAACAATTCCTAGACTTCTTTCATGCAATAATCGAGAAGTTCCTGATTCATTTGTGTTGGACGAGCTTTGGAAGGGATATCCTTTTCATTGAAAGATTTTTCGTAAGGTAATTCAACAATATGTTGCCGTCTGTGCCTTCAGAGCAAACCTATCCTTGTAGCCTAATTTTGAATCTTTGAATAGATTCTTGGAGGCTTTTGTAACTGAGCTGTTCATCAATCTGTTGGAAAATTAGTTCTTGTTAGAGAAAGTCAGATGCTTTGTTTTGCTTTCAATCCTATTAACAGTTGGGATCCTTGTGACGTAGGAATCCTTAATGGTATTGAGATCTTTGGTGCCGATAGGATGAGTAAAAGGAAAATAAATTTCTTTTCCGACCAGAGTTGTTGAAATTCCCTGGCCATCAACTTTGAATGGGTAAAGAAGAGAAATAAATGGAGTTCATATAATAACAGGGGTATTGAGGTATTTGACGAGGATAAAAAGCGTTTTGATATAAAGACCTTGATTACAAACATGGGCCTTGGTTAGTTTATACTGGACAGTAAGACGTGAACCATTAGCACCTTGAAGTCATTCTTTGGTTTTCTCAAAGTATTTTGTAAGAACAAGTCCTTTATTAATACAGTTGAGATCAGCACCAGAATCAATGAGTGTTATAGTCTGAATTGTGAAGGCTTTACTGATGACAATTTTGAGGTTAACATGCCATTTTTGGAATGTTATTTAGGTCAGGAGGTTGATATAAGCCTCATTGTCTTTGGGAAGACTTCCAGAGTCATGTTTTTCAGGTTTGGGGGGAGGCGTAGGTGTCAAGGCATTGGTTTCTAAGAGTAAAGATATCATAAGTAGTGGAATCCTTCAAAGCTTTGTTTTCTTGCTTTAGAATAGAAATGTCTTGCTTGGTTTGTTTGATTTCTTTGTGGAGGTCTTGGATAATAATTGACATTTGGGACTGTGTACCAAATCTTTCGAAGATATCAGTAAGATTATAAGTGTTTGGTATAACAACTAGAGTTTTGTCATTCCTTTGGCCGATGCTGTTAGTGAATTTGATCAGGCATTCTTTGCGTTGGTTAAGATCCTCAATTTTATCAATGAGTTCTAGCATAAATTCTTAATCTTTAGTAATCATGCAAATGCATTTGGTTTTGACAGGGTTGGAAGAATCAGAATCATAGTCTATATCAGCATGATAATCATCTTCTTGAATACCATTAATATCATTTTCAGATTTTTCATCGGAAAAGTTTAAAAGGATTTGCATCAATTGGCTTCTGACAGTTTCAGGCAGATCGAGCTCATTGATTTTCTATTTGGCTTTGCAATCACGTTTGTAGTGACCCATCTTGCCACACTTGAAGCATTTTATTGCTACTTTGTAGGGAGCAGGCTTCTTCTGGAATTGTTTTGCAGGAGGGACGTGTCTCTATCTGTTTTTCTCTAAAGAAAGGTATTTGTTCATAAAGGAGGGCTTGTTCTTGTGGTACCTCGATCTGTTGTTGTGCCTATTGGAGAAAGTTTTCTTATAACTATTATGACGTTTTCGTTTGGAAGGAGGGGTTAGGTTTTCGAAGCTAAATTGTTGGCAGAAAGATCCTAATTCTTTTCTGCTTGTGGCATTCTCATGCTTGATTTGTTGTTGAAGTTTGAAGTCTATACAGAGAGCTATTCCTTCTGCTATGATGGTACTGATGATATCCCCGTAAGTAAGAGAGTCCTAAGGAATATGACCATCGTGTTTTGATCTGAAATGCTTACGAATTCTTTCAGTAAAGAGATTGGGCTAGGAGTCCAACAATGAACTTTTCTTTCCAAAAGGCTTGGTTACAATCGATCCTGGTGAGGACTTTCGAAAGAAAAATATCTTTATACCATCTGAAATCTTGGAGTTTGCAACACCTAAGTTTGGTTAAGATCTCTGAGGTTTTGTCTTTAACAATTGATAGGTCACCGAGAAATTGTTGGGCGATTGAGAAAATGAGAGTAGCATCGACGTCCACTATATCATATCCTTTTTCTGTCTTGATTGTAGTTCCTTCGGGAGTTGTTTTGACAGAATGAAGAATGGCATGACCTTTTTCAGGAGTAAAGATGTTGTCCCACCATCCTTTGAGTTGTCCTATAAAACCCCCTACTAGGAGTTGTGCTATAGCATGATTAGATGGGTCATTCTTGGTCTTGTAAGCAATACTGGCCATGATCATTTCTTGAAGGGTATTGAGAATGTGGTACTAGGTCTTGCCATCTATGTTCCATTCATAAATGTTGACACCATGGTAAGCAGCTTGGGAGAACTGTCCTCTTTCTTCGATCTGGAGATCTGGGAAAGTATGTCTAGGATAATAGTTTCTAAAAGAAATGGGTTCTAGAGCAATAATGTGTTGGTTCTGGAAGATCTCTGTAATTTCATCAATTTCAATGTCACTACCAATTTCTTGGTCCAAGGTATTGATGTTCTTGGTGGCCGTAGATCGCTCTGGTGTATCAGGAATCATAGCCGTAGAAATCATAAGGGATTCGATTATATTCGCTTGATTTTATCCTATGTTTCTTCAATAGCACTGCGCTTGGATAATTGTTTAGAACAAATGTAAGGGAATTTTATGGGGAATGAAAGGTGGAGCATTGCCTAACTGGATTGGAATAATTTGTTCGTTTTGAAGCAAGGTTTTAACTCGAGAAAGTTGAGGGTCTGGAGGTGCTGGTTTGTGTAGTTATTTTGTTCCGTGATGCTTCATACATCACGAGTTCTGGATGGTGTATTGCCGGCGGCTGCTGCCTTTATCTTGAAAGGAGAATCAGTAAGGGTGACAATTCCTTTCTTGAATTTGACTGCTTGAGCTAGGGGGTGGATGGCTTCAATGGCTTCACCACGGGATATTTTCCATGTGGTAGTAGGTTTGGAGGTGATGTTTAATGATTTGATTGTCGAGAAAGGAAAATCAATGTCATTGTCAAGTCATAAATTTTCAAACCACGTAAAAAAAAAGGGCTGAAAACTTGTGGTGTGTACAAAAAACATACCACTGTTCTCTAATCTCAAGGGCTTTTTGAGTAGAAAATGTTTCGAAATACCATTGTCTTTTGGAATCATTGATGTTTGAATAGACGTCTTTGCGTAGGAAGTCTTTATCAATCTCATAAACTTTTTCTATATCTGAATCTTCATATCTTCATATATTATCTTCATATATTATAAATTTAGGGATTTGTTTTTCTGGGTGGAGATATAAAATATAATATATATATATATTCTGGGTGAAGATATTATATTATAAATATATAATATAATATCTCACATCTTCATATATTATCTTCATATATTATATTTCCTTTTTTTTTATTTCTTTGAATTTCTGTAAAACAAAATGACAGTAATATTGTATTATATGGAGATGTATATATGCATTGCTGGCAATTACTGAATTTTGGGTCAATTTGTTGAAATAGGAAATTAATTTTTTTTCTATTTGTTTGTTTGGTGTGTGCAGATTTATCCAGCATAGACACTAATAATGATAATCAGTGGTTCTTTTTCTGTCATCTGGATCGGAAGTCTGCGAATGGACAGAGGCTGAACAGACTAACGAAGCAGGGATACCGGAAATCAACAGGTAAGGATCGGAAGATCAAGTCCGGTAACAGAGAAATTGGTACAAAGAATGCTTAATTTGGTCTTCTATATGTGCATTGCTTTGATCTAAAATTTGGATGGTTTTAGATTGAGTATTGGATTTGTCATGTGTCTCTCTAGGTTTGTGGATAGTTCGAGTAATTGACACCATCTAGTAGCCCGAATCATGTTTAGTTGGTGTAACTAATTTGTGAATTAAAATGCAAGAAACATTGTATGTTTATTTGTGAAGTGAACTTGGTTTATGAGGGAGTTCTTTCTGCTTACTTTGTGAAGTGAATTATGGAGTGGATTTGGACTTGGCCTGAGAACTGATGGCTACATTGTGTGTCCATAGCACTGAACTTACAGAACTAGTAGTTTTAACTTGGACTCGGATTACTTTGCAAAATAATCATTTCAATAGTGATGCCGCTTCAAAAATCTTAATGCTTTAATATCCTCCATTATTGTGAAAAATTAAAGCAGCTAGAAGCCTAGAATTGTTCAAGGTTGTACAACATAGTGAGACTTGTTCCAAATGCCTTTTTGGGAAAGTGACCAAATATCCAATCCTTGTTGGGGATTTGGCTGTAATACGACGCAGCATGGAACAATTTTCTTCAATGGGTATGTTAGAAAATTCTTGTATTTAGCTGAAGTAAAATTTTACCGGTTCTATTTATAATGATATATTAGGAAATTGTTGTATGACCACCAAGGGAGGCAGAAGCCTTTCGAAGTTGAGAGGTGAGGCTTCAAGTCCCTGTAGGGGGAAATGAGTTTGTCGCTGATTGTTCCTTATGGAATTTAGGCAAGTAATATGCTTCAGCTTGGATGTTTTAGTTTGAACTGGGTAATTAATCCCATTAAATTCATGTTGCAAAAATGTTAAAAGGTTAAATCTCTAGTCAGTGTACTCCTCCTAGCTTGAACTGGGTAATTAATCCCATTAAATTCATGTGATTAAGGGAAGCCACCCGATAAATGTTCATGCAGATTCTTGATTTCCTCATGGCGACATTTTTTTTATGCTCAAACAATTTGCATTGAAATACTGGATGTTCAATATATTGGTTGAGCATAGATGTTCAATATATTATTAAATTCATTTTTGGCAATCTATGTATTCTGCAGTGTTCCTTTGTCCTCTGTCGTCTTTTTAAGAAGCATGATGAGAAGCAAGATGATGTCACTGAAGGTTCAAACTGTGTTGAAGTTGAAGAGAGTGTTGTTCCTTCTCCTGCCACAGTTACTGCTCAAGATACACAATTGGAGGCAGCAACCCCTGTGATGACTGATGAGAGCGCAAGCTGAAAAGCAATCTTCTAGTAATTCCGAAAACTTACTCCTTTTACCTGCTGAGTTTGACAACAATATCCGTATTTATAATGATGCCAAAGATGAAGTGGTAGACAAAATATTTATGCAGGTGAGAAGAGGAAATTCTTCTTAATATTGTCAACTCTCAAATTTTATTTTTTTTTTATTTTTTATTTTTTGTGGAGACTGAAAAACAAAAATTAGTATTGAACTTTTATTTCTTGATTCTCACTCAGCCGGATTCGGAGCTGGAGCAAATGTTGGAAATGTTTTGCGGCCCAATGCCTGGGGCACCAGATGAAAAAATCTTCCCTCCATTGAATTTGCAAATGGATATGGGGTTTGGACAATCTTACTTGCCTTTCCCAGTCACTAATAACTTAAGCAATGACCACAATGGGGTGCAATTTCAATATGGATCAAATGAACAGGAGTTTACTGAATTCCTGGATTCAATTTTTGTTGACAAAGAATCACTCAACCGAATTCTTCAATTATTCGGAAATGTCCCTTTCAGAATCCTTCGATGACACAAAACTTACTCAAAAGATCAATCCGAGTAAGAGGCCAAAATGTAAGAGCCTGGACTATAATACTCAATCAAGAAGAATCCGTTTGCAGATGAAACTTCAACCGGATTTAGTTCGCCCCAACTACTTTTTGAGCAACTTCAAAGAAAACCATGAAGCAAAACCAACATTGACACAGGTGAGATGTCCGTCGCCAAAGTATCTGTTGAGAATTTCATAGTGCATATCAAAAGATTTTTAACTCTATTTAATTGCCCCGTGCAGGCTGAAAATGTTAAGGAACAGCGTGCTTCTGATGCAGCAGCTACCATTTGCCTGAAAGTGCAAAAAAATTAGTTTTTGGTAAATTTTTAGTTTCCTATTTTTACCCCAAATTTGTAGAGCAATCCTTCCACGATTTTGAAACCTATTTTTACCTATTGTAAGGATTCTCTAATAAGTCTATATAAACTCTTTTTCTCTCATGATTAATTAAGGTTTCAAAGAGAAAAATATTTTGACTATTGAGAGCTTTTTTAGAGTATTTTTCCAAAAAATCACCTTCATTGTTCTATACATTTTTATATATTTGAGAGCTCACACAATTACACAAGAGTGATCTTAGGGTGGTGTTCTCAATCTGATCGGAGTTTCAAGCATATTGAAGATTCAATCAATTCCGTTCAGAGAAGCAGGATTTCTATTTTTGTCTTCAACAAATTCTGATTTAAAGAAATGGGGTGGAACGATCACACTTTGAAGGGGTCAAAACATTTTTGGAGTGTTGTTTAATCTACCAGCAGTCATTTTACAGATCAAGAATAAAACTTAGGTCGAGAGCTGTTAGACAGGGGAGTTACAAAGCTAGTAATTGTCAGCGATTGGTTTTTGGTAGAAAGAGATGGTGTGAGTCTGAGTCAGAGTCAATTGTACTTTGCTTCATATATAGTGGATCGTTTCGCTCTAGACGGTGTAAGTCTACTAGATTTTTCCAGAACAATTGGTCTATTATGCGAATCAGTGTTTCCTCACTAAAAATTTTGGTGTCATATTTCAAAATTTATTTACTTTACTTGTACTTTATTATTACTTTGTGGATTTAATTTTTTATTTTATTTGGATAAAATTAAAATAAATAAAAATTAAATAATGGAACAAGTAAAACTTATTCACCCCCTTTAAATTACTTTTAATACAAACTTCTACATCCATTTCGCATTGTGGGACTCACATTTAGCACCCATCATCTTCTTTAAATATATCATCTACTTCCTATGTTAAATTCATTTCTTTCAACTTCCAGTCTAAGGTATTTCATCTAACTGCATATAATTTGGTTCATGTATTTAAATCATTGATTTATCTCAATTTTTTTGATAGTTTACAAATACCTCCTACTTTCTTTCGCATGTATTTAAATAATTGATTTTATCTCAATTTTTTGATAGTTTACAAATACCTCTTACTCTCTTTCGCGCCTAATTTTCATATAAATCACTTAATGAGTTTTGCTCAACTTTGCCCATTATCTTTTTGATTTCACATATAAATTTAAGAATAATGATTTGAAGTCCGAAAAGCAGACAGAATGATTTATATGAGTAAGAAGAGATGACATCATTATGTTATCTTTAATATCCCTAATGCCATTATATATCAATCTTTACGCACATAAAATTATTACAAATAAAATATATCCAAATGTCGAATTTCCTGTAATTACACTTAAATTTAATTACTCTTAAATTTATTACACGTGCTTAAATCTTCTTATTGTTTACCTTTTGTCATACTTTATAACTTTATCGCTTTTGTTTCACCACTCCACCATGCTTTAATTTTTTTTTTTTTCTTTTTTTTTTTTGTTTGCTTGATTCTTCTTGTCTATTAGAGTAAAAGATTAGACATTAAAAAATTGAAGCTATAACAAACATCCCCATTAATAACAACAATATCTGCTGACTTTTGAAATCTTATTTTTCGTCAAGGACAAAAAGTTAGGTCCTTTACATCCCTCCTACATACAAATTTCTCAAGGAATCAGACCATTATGGTTTTTAAATGGTTGATTAATTGAAGTTTTGTAGGTCATATATAAAGGTTAAAATCTGTTTTTGAGCCGGTGATAACCAACAATACCAAGTTACTTAAAAGATAAGAATGAAAGTTAAAAGCTAAATGGCATGAAGCGGGAGTGAATTCGAGAACGAAAGCATAAAAACGGTAAAATTGAGTCACAAATAAGTGAAAAACGGGAGCAAAAACGTGTTTGGATTGTGAGAACAGAAACGCGTTCGGAACGCAATACCAATTGAGAAAAACTGTATAATTAATGATGACAAATCCTCATTGTTACTATCATAAAAACAAGTGGGATGACTATAAAATTAAGACTATTCTATAATTTCTATTCCGTTCTAATTACCATAAAAGTAAGTAGGATAAATCAAGACCATTCTATGCCAATAGCCTACTTAAAACAAGTTTATTTTCTTGTTTTTTTCTTTATCATGAGTGATATTAAAAATGGAAAAGATTTAAGTCTATGAGAACTAGACAATAGTGACATGACCTAGTCATTCCCCAATCTTTTTGAGGGAACAATTGAAAAAGGATGACAACATAAGAATGGTGGATCATCACCTCTTCCGATTCCAAATCCACCAGCACAAAAGGAATGGGAAGCGAGAGAGAGAGGGAGAGAGAGAATCTTCCAACACAAAAGGAAGGAGAGAGAGAGGCTTTGAGTACTAGCAGAGGTCCCACGGTTTTTCTTCTCCACCTTCGTTTTATTTTATTTTATTTTAGTCTTTCATCATTCACATCTCTATATTTGAGATTCAGTCACCTTTTTTCCACATTTCATTTTTTGGTTTCACACTGATAGGATATGAATCAAAGATTCGTATAATGATTTAAAGAACAAAGGAGGAAAAACAAATAAACTGCAAAAGGTAGTGGTAATTATAAATTGAACTAAACCGTCTTAGTTGGCTCTAGTACTAAGTCATTTGGGATGGTGGCTGCCCGTATGGTTAATACTTTTGTTTCATATATATATATTTTTTTCACTAGTATACTATAACGAAGCAAAAATACAAAGCATTTTTTGTAATGTTTGTTATCATTTGAGTAATACCGAAGCGTTTCTAAAATTAAGGCTAAAATTAGAAACATCAAAATGATGCTTTTGTTTATTTTCGCACTATAGCAAAGCACAATTCAAATTTTTATTTGGGTAAAGTGCATTAAACCCCCTTAAACTATTGGTCATTTGCAAGAAACCCCCCTGAACTATCATTTCTCTATTCATGTCGAATCCTAGCCAAATTCTAAATACATGCAAAGGTATGAAATAACTAAAAGGCTAAAGAAACAAATATTATGAAAAGTTGCTACCGTAAAACTTTGTCTGTCTTGTTTCGCACCATTGGCACCAAATTGTTTGGCCTAAGCACGGAGGGTAAAATTTTTGAAACAAATCTTCAGAGTTATTGTAGCATAGAGTGATGTTTTAACAATCGCATGAGTTAAAAAAATATTTCCTGCTCTCACTTTTTATTTATTTATTTATTTTTGACTAATAATCTTTTAATGCTATAAAAAATAATCTGTTTAAAAAAGTCAAAATTGAGGCAAGGGAGTTGTCGTTTATATGTATATATATATAGTCAATTTAGCAACTTATGACATATCACGACAAATCGCTTTCTCAATCGATCCTTGACCAACTAATTTAACTGATTTTTGGATAATTCACCTACAACATGTGCACCTCACCCTATCTTTTCCCGGCAAATTTGAGTCCTAGTGGTGAAACCTGGCGAATCTTCTTACGTTTCAGCTTCCCATTGGATTTGACTACTCATCCCCATCAGCTTTGTCCGCTAAGTTTCGCCTATTCCCCAAGATGCCCCTACACTTTTGTACGAATCTCAGCTGATTTCCCCATTTCGGGCCCACGCTAGTGGGACATAACTATAATTTCAGGACAGTCTACCCGGTCTTTTCGTACCCTTCAAACGCGTTGATCTCTTCTTTCATCCATTTAGGTTCCAACTCTCTCTCTCTATACGTCTCATTCTCTCTCTTTCACATGTTTCAGTGGAACCTGAAGTAAATTTGCTCTAAATTTTCTTCGTACTTCTACTCTTTCGGGTTTTTATTCGAGATATATATATATATATATATATATATATATATATGAGAGAGAAGAGAGAGCAAATTTACTTAAGGTTATATGTAAGTGTAATCAGGGACGGAGCAGTATAGGACGAGGGCACGTTCCCCCCTCAAATTTCTCCTTCTCTTAAATACTTCATATGTTTCCTTAAATTTTTTTTTTCTTAAATTATTTTATTATATTCTATATATGTAATTTATTAATTTATTTCATTCCAAAAATATCAATTTTTATCTATATTTATCCACCTATTTATCTTTATGTATATATACTTCATAAATATTAATTTATATATATTTAATGTACAATGTGCCCCTCCTGAACAAAAATTCTAGCTCCGTCCTTGACCATGATGGTAGTTTTTTTAACCACGGTCATGCCAATGACCATTTCCACGTTTACCAACGTGAAATGAGACGACATGATTCAATTGGACGAAAAAAATATAATTTCTTAACAAAAGCTCATTACTTTGCTTTACCATAAACATATATGATATGGACTTTAAATATTTCATAAATCTACACTTTAGTGTGAGAAGTGGAGTATGTCTTTTCCAATATATGTTCATCAGTAGTATTATATTCACATAATTCAAAATAATAAATAATAAATAATAGAAATTTTTTGTCACAATTAACCCAAATATTCAAAATAAAAACAAAAATCATAAGGCGTAGATAATGTTTATATTGAAATGACTTAACTATTCATAATAATTGGGTTTAAACATGTAACATATTACATAAATCATATTCAAGATTATAACATGTTAAATTAAACAGGTCATAAACGGGTTTGAACCTCTCGATCCTAACCCGACACAGTTACGTAAACAGGTTAATTGTGTCAACCCATTTATGACCCGAATTCATTTAAGGTCAACCCAAACCCACTTATCTCGTGTCATGTTTGAGTCGTGTCGACGGGTCGTGTCGTAATTTGCCATCCCTAATTACATTCCTTCTACATACAAATTTCACAGGGAATCAGACCATTATGGTTTTTAAATGGTTGATTAATTGAAGTTTTGTAGGTTATATACCAAGTTACTTACAAAGATAAAAATAAGAGTTAAAAGCTAAGTTACACAAGAACATAAAAACAGCAAAATCAAATCACAAATAGTGAGAAACAAGAACAAAAACGTACGCGAAAGGTAACAAATCCACGT